TTTTTTAAAATGAGTGCTGCATTTTGTTGATTTGGACATCAACAACTCATGTCCTATAATTCTGGAATCAGGGACCAATAAGTGCCCCGTGCACTTTGTCAGGGACCAAAACGACCCTCGACTAACATTGCCAGGGACCTAATTGGTTCTCGTGTTTTGCAATCAGTAACAAAATATGCATAACAGTATGCAACTTCTGTATCAGCAATGTCATGAGTTATGTGTCTATATCAGTAGCAATCTATATCTGTTTGTGATACAATGTAGCAATCTTTTATCCTTCATTCGATGCCTAACTATGCAATAATATATAATGCCATAATATATTAAGGAATACATTCAAGGCTTTTTTATAATAGGCCATATGATAATACACACAAACAAATTTGAACTAACACATAATTTGTATAACAACATGAAGGAGTACTCATTACAATTCACTGAAGCAAAAATACATTTGGGTCACTTTTTTCACTTTTACCACACTAACAACAAACATACAGATCATGATCATACCCACACAAGCACCTAAGACCCTAGCTGACCTATCAACTGTCCTAATTTTTTTGTCCATCCTAACTAACTCCTCCACCATCTTCAGGTATACATCATTCAGTTTTCTTTCCTGCTGATGAAGCTTCATTCCTTGCTCAGTAATCTTCACATCTTGCTCTCTCATCATCATCTCCACATACTTCAACTTGAAGTTAATTTCAGCAACATCCAACTCCACAGTGTGAATTCTTGCTTCTTCCAGTTCCATGGGTTCATTACACATGTCATCTACCCATCTAAAAAAATCACAATAGGGCTTCTTCACCTGAAAAAAATAAACACCATGGTTAGCAAGTGTTCCAACTCAATAAAGGAGTAGATTACAAATTCGTACCTTGAAGTTAGGACACCCAAGGAAAGCCCTGTTTGGGTTCCTCTCAGTTTTGGAGGTATAGACAATACTTTGTCTCCCACATTTGCACCTCCAACCAGTGGTCCTTGCCATTGTTCTTCCCCCCATTGATTTACTCCCACTTGACCCCCCATGCCAGAAGAAACACTCATCTTCTCCCACGCCCAGAAATCCGGTTGATGGCTTAATGTCTTTCGTCGAGTTTCAATCATCAAAGTGCAAACTTTCTGGCGGCGTTTTGCTGTTTACAGATTTGCTCATCAATTTGGGGGATGGAGTTTCCGGTTTAGGGTTCTATTGAAGGCATTTGGGTTTTTTTCAATTTTAGGGTTCATTATTTGGGTTTTATCAATTAATTGCATTCAAGTAAAACGACGTCGTGCTTTCCATGGGTGTCCACCGTCGTCGTCCAGCTTTCCACCGTGTCCACCGTGGAGTTCGCGTCAGCAGATAACGTGCCACATGAGCACCGTTAGTTTGACCGTGACGGAGGAGTTGACAGAAGGACTAACGTGGCCCTTTTTTCATAACTTTAGGGACCAATTTGGTACTTTTACATTGTCAGGGACTAAAATGGATTTCGCTAATATTGCTAGGGATCAAAAAGAGTATTTACTCTTAATTCTAAATGTTAATCATTGTCTGCATGTGAACTGTTATCTGTTTACAGGGGAACAATTATCCACCGGAAATACTTATATGGTTCAATTTCGTTGATTCCATTGACCTCTGCATTTAGCGTACGAATGTGTTGAGTGAATGTTAACTACTGATGTATTATTGCTCTTTAATATTTAATTCTTTCATTGCTTCTATTGATACCCATTGTTCTTAATTTTACATTGCAGGTTTTACCTTTGCCTAATTTCCCATTCTTCTGGGTTTTATTCCGCAATTATTCTCATTGGAGAGCTCTTCAACCGTATACTATTGCTAAATTTGCGTAGTACTTGCAATCAGTTCTTTTCCACCTCCTGTCAATCGTGTTAATTTATCTGTTTTGCTGTCTTAATCAGGGATTTTCTACTGCTCATGTCTGTCTGTCTCATCTTTCTGATTTCATTTGACAGTGCCCTGATTGAGAGCGAGCCTTAAAGCAACGGTAAGGTAGCTTCTTGTGACCCGAAGGTCACATGCCCCGATTTCATTCTTGCGTAGTACTTGCAACCACTTTGTAAAACCACCAATAAGGTTCTCGTATTGGGAGTGGGGTTTGAACCAATACCTTTGTGGAGTACAAACCAAATCCTTAGCCAATTGTGCCCATCTTTATTGGCCATGTTTTTAATTTTTAAATATAGAAGAAACCAAATCTAAATAATTTATATAATTTAATTTATGGCTTTAATATTTTTACAGTGAATGTAGATAAGTTATCTACATTTACTCTCAAAATGATATCGTTTTGAGTTGAAAGATTAAAAAATTATAATCATAAAGACTATTATAACCTTAGAATAAATTAAAATTACAAAATTATCTTAATTTCTGCCAAAAAATAACGGCGTTTTGATCTCAATACAAATAAATAACTTATTTTCATTTATGGAAAAAAAACCAACCTTAATTTATTTGGATGCTTGACCTGACCCATTTAATCTAGGATCCTACAGAGTACAGACAACTGTATTGCCATTCTCATCACGAAATACATAACACTTTAAACAAACATTCCAACGTGAAAAAACAAAACACTCTTGTGTACTGACCATGTGTCAGCCAACCCTTTTTTGGATCCTCACTGGGAATCCACCTTCCATTTGGGATGTCAAGAAGCAAATGAAGTTGGGCTCCATCCCTTCCAACGCCGCCGGCACCACAACCGCCTCAGGACGCCAGCCACCACCCTCTTCATCTGCAAAAATGCCATTTCCTTCCCCAAGCAAATCCTGGGACCTGCTTGAAACACGGGATAACTGAAGGGATCCCTCGCAACGAAGCTCCACTTACCAGAACCAGCCTTCTCTAACCACCTCTCAGGCCTAAACTCAGCCCAATCATCACCCCACATCCTCCCCATTGCGTACACGTGATACGCTACCATCATCCCCTCCTTGATTACAGTTCCGTCCGGCTAAACGTCGTTGTTAACCGCTTCCTTGATGTCTATTGGAACTGGCGGGTACAGCCTCATGCTCTCACATAACGCAGCGTGTGTGTAAACCATGTCCTTCACTTCATCGTACACCGTCTCTTCCGATTTTTCCGTCACTTTTTTCACAACCTCGTTCTCCACTCGCGGGTTTTTCGACAGCAACCAGAAAAACCACGTGAGCGTCGCCGACGTCGTGTCTTTTCCGGCCAATATGAAGCTTATGACTATGTCCGTCACGAAGTCCTCATCGGAATGACCCGAACTCAAGAAACGCGATAGCATGTCCGCAGATTCAAGCGAAGCCTTCTCCTTCAGCTCACGCTTCTTCTCTCTCACTATGTTCTTGGCAAATTCACGCACTTTCGAGACCGCGATTCGCATTCGCTTTTCTGATCCTATGTCTAGTTTTCTCTTGATTTTCCAGACAATGGGTAACGGTTCGCGGAACCGTTGGCCGCTGATCTCTGTTGCTTCTTCAAATGCTCGTGCGAACTTGCTACGTTCAACGGACGCCGCTAGGTATTCTGGATCATACCCAAACGCGATTTTGCAAATGTTGTCGAACGCGAATCGTTCAAGGATGGCTTGGAAATCAAGAGTTTGGTCTTGGGCTACTGCTGCTGAATCGAGAATGGGGACGAGGCGGTCAGAGAGCTCCACGTCCACCACATGTTTGACGAATTTGCGCAGTGACTTTGTGTTGAATTCGTGGCTGGCAACTTGCCTCTGAAACTTCCAGTTATCGCCGTCGGCGTTGAAGATTCCAGTGCCAAGAAAATCAGAGAGGGTTTGAAGAATGTTGTTTCCCTTTTGGTAAATGGAGAACCTTGTCTAGAGAATGTGATGTACGGTGGCGGGGTTGCCGGTGATAATTTGTCGGCAGCCCAAGAGGCTGTGGAGGGTGAATGTAGCAGCGGGTGAGATTTGGACAATATCGGATAACCATTGCAAATGGCGGTTGCCTTGTGCTCTGAGGGCTAAGTAGGAACCAATCAGTGGGTACGCTATTGGGAGTGCAACGGTGGGTGAAGGACCTATCTCCTTCTTCTGAGAAGATGGTCTGAGGAAGAAGAAAAAGAGCACTGGAAGGATGAAGAAGATGAAGAAAGGAGGTAGCAACTGCAAAAGCATCTGAATCATTCTCGTTAGTTCTGACTGAGTATAACAGCTTACAATATTGGAAATTAGTATTAAACTGTAGTGTGGAGATGTTCAGTTGTATCTGTAGGTTTTTCAATGAGAAGTTAAGTGTATATATACTGTGTCTGTGGCATGATGCATTTTGCATTTTTTCAATGTTCAGTTGTATCTTTTTGTATGAGAAATTAAGTGCATATGTTTTTTTCTGTGGCATGATGCAGATATTTGATAGGATTGTATTGTAGATTATTTGGATTACTCGTTACCCATAGCCAGCGTGCATTGGTGATGTGCAGATAGATTTGGAATTTGGATTACTAGTTACCCGTATTTCAGTTAGAATAGTGATTTACTTACGCAAGCAAATCCGTCATTTTTTAACTTGTCATCTGACAAAGGCAATCACGGCAACCGCGTGCGCTGTGCTATATTTTTTGTACTTTGATTAACATGGCGAGTATGATACAGAAAGTAATATAACTCCATTCTCATTTGTCGTTGAAAATAAAATGAAGTTATATTCAACTGAATATAAAGTCGTGTCTGCATTGTTTACATTATGTCAAATATTGCTTTAAATATTTAAGATAAGAAATTTCTACACAAAAAATTCATTCTCATATATGTATGATCTATTATTCATGTGTTTATATGTGTGGGATATCCTCCCTCAAAGTTTTATATATGTATGATCTATTTGAGAGCAAGTGTTTTCTTTAACATTAACTTGCAGAAATAACTACTCACTTGTGTTAGTGTCTTGTCAATACAATGAGACTAATTAACAAAATACTAAGGACAGAGAAATACCCACAGGTCAAGATATCAAAGCCAAAGTTCACTATTCCTATTATGTATTCTATAATCTTGTTCCAAGCAGGTACATAGATACCCATGCCTGAGATTCTGTCCTGTTTCTCTATAATATGCAGGCAAACCAAATAAGTAAAATATGATTCTGTCATGTTTGCCCAAACATTTCCTAGTGGCATAGACTACAATTTTTTTCTTTAAGCTGCATTCTGATCTTGCATACATCTGCAAAAATTACAAACGTTATATAAAGAAAGTGGTTAGAATATCAAGAAGAGACTTTAAATTGCTAAATAGACTTTCAATTCACAATACATTAGTTTTTCATTTTAGAAAATTTAAAAATATTTCTTAAAATGTTAAAAGATCCCTTGGAATCTCTTAAAATGCTAGCGTCCTAGCTTAAAACTTGCAAAAACCAAGTTTAAGAATTTGGCTGGATGCAGAGTTACAACCTTCGGCAGAATTTACTGTCGTTAGATTTTAAAGCAAGACAGACACTTAAATCAGACGAAGAAAATTTCTAGAAGTTTTTAATAAACCTCACAATCATTGAACAATATGTGTTACTCAGAGAAAATCAAGAAGATTTCAGGTTGGTTCATACTAAAGATCTAGTCAAATGAGCGTAGACAAAGTATACCTAAAAGAAAGGAAAAGGACTTCTGTTTATATGCTTACCACCTTAATCTTATCCCAATTTTCCGTAGCTCATGCAATTGATGAGCTATATCCTCAATAAATTGTTGTCCACTGCTTCCATTCCGAAGAGAATTTAATATGTGCTCAAGAAGATCATGATCAGCTTCGAGTGCTTCCAACCTGTCATTAAGGTCTGATATTTCATTTTCTAAAGAAACCAAATCAACTTTTCTTCTGGGCGTCGAACATTTTGGTCCAACAGAGGTGGAAAGAATGTTTTCTTTATCAAGAGAACAATCATCACTATCTGAAGCAACTGAGTCATCCTGATCAGTAACACTTCCATTTGTACAAATATTTTTCTGTTTTGAGAAATCAGTCTTTTCAATCAGACCATCTAATTGAGGTCTTTCCACAATAGAGTATCCTTGTTGATTCGATTTACCATTTGGCATATTGGAGGAAATCCCGGTACAATAGATTTGATGAAGCTTCTTTTCCAAGCTTTTCAAACATTGTGAAATGTCTAGCTTTTCCTCTTCAAATTCTATAGATGAGGTTTCAACAACCACAGCTTCATCACTGACTTTGGATACCTCGGTGATCTTTGCATCAGAAGAAATTTCCACAGTACTTGTGATGTCAGGTACACTAACATTTTGTACAGTGATGTTGTCTCCTTTCAAATCACAAATTTCATTGTGAATACTCTGGACCACAGGTTCGTCAGTCAAGTTTTCCTTATACCATTCTAGTTCTGCTTCCAAATCTTTTATCTCTTTTTCTTTTTCTTCCAGTAGATTGTTAACTTTCTCCAATGCATCTCCATCATATTCTGCCTGCTCTTCCATCATTCTTAAATATTGAAAAGCATCCATATGCAATGCAGCCTTCTCCTCCTGTAACTTTGTAATCATAGCCATTGCTTGATTTGCAGCAATTGCAGCTGCATTTCTTTCTTCCTCCAATTCTTTATATAAAGCATTCATGCATTTTTTGTCATACTCAATCTGTAGCTTTAATCTATCAACAAAGGACTCCCCTTCAATTTCAGAGATATTGCTTCCATCCATAGATTCAAGGCCAGATCCCACTGAGGCTGACTTTTGAAGTACCTGAGTTCCATCAGAGCTAGAAGCCTCAGCTTCATCCATACCATGGACATTAACAGCATCGGAGCTCAGGAACTTCACACCATGGTGATTACTGATGTGAGGCACCATACATGGATCTAAAAGCAAAGGCACAGGATTGAGGGAATCATTGTTTGGATTTGCTGGATTCAGATCACTCGGAAGACACTTTGCTCTAGGATCATTGCTGGCTTCAATGTTTTCACGAAACACACTACCTTCACCATCATCATCAGAAAATGGAAAGTCAGACTCAGAATCAGAAGTGAGTTCCACCTCAGTGTACCCAACATGAGACAATGGTTCAAAACTGGATTGGTTATGAACAGCTCTCCCCGGTGATTTTAGTAGGATAGATTTTGGGGTATTCTGTTCTAACTTCCAAAGCATACCACAACAGGTACATGTCCTTGAGCCCTTAGAGCCAGTAAACAACGCTTTGCTTAGCAATGGGCTTTGGAAACCACAACCACCAAGATCCACACCCAATTTACCCATCAACAACCTCTGGGTTTTTGGGTTCGGTTCAGTCTTTGTGGTGACAGACAAGAGGCAATCATCACACATCCCATGACCATGAGCAACCTTATTGTGAATTTGACATGATATAAGAGATGAAATTTCTGATCTATGACTGCTGCAAAGTAGAAAATGATAGAACTCTGAATTTTCACCACCTAAGAAGACACGATCAAGCCTAGAGCATAACAAACAAGGTGCTTGCAATTGGCAATAACTTGCAAACTTTGTAAGCAGATATGATAGCAAGGCATCCACAAGCAACAGAAATATCAAAAACCACTCACAAGCTGCAGATGTAAGAAGGACAATAAAACCCTGATACCTCCATGTTTTGACATATGAATTTCCACCTGTTGCCATCTCCACCACAAATTTTCTCTACAAATCCATAATCAAGTCCCAGCCATTCAATTCAAAGCAGAAAATTGCATACCAAGATTAATGTAGCATCTTTTATATCACAAATCCCAACGTGCTAGGGCTAAAACGCCAGAAGCAGGTCATAAACAACCACCATTAAATTAAAGACATCGTATACTGCCCAAGAACGACATCAAACAAGTTCACCAAACACAAGTTTTGAAGACCACACAAAAAAAGCAACCACGACCAGAGTTTGCATGTTCAAGAATTGGAAGATAAATGTGACCACCCAGTGGACTTGAAATCCTCACAACTTCCCATCCTAGGAACCCAACAAAAAAGAAAGAAAGAAAGAAAGAAAGAAAGGAAATGATGAAAATGAAACCATTATCGTAGCATCACGGAGCAGCTTAAGCTTGACTTGAGTTGAATTGATTCTTTACATAATATCATAGTTTCGATACAGTGTTCGATCGTATCCCCATTTAATTAATAATTAATTAAATTTTGTGAAATTTTTTAACGTAGGCCGCCCTAAGGCTAGAGGTGGCAAAGTGGACGGCCCGCCCCACCTCGCCATTAACCCGTCAAAAAATGAGCCAGCCCGCCCCGCTCCGTCCCGTTTGGCGGGTTGGGCTGGTTGGCCCGCCAGCTCGAGCCTATTTTACACTTACCCGCCTTGGCCCGCCTATACCCGCCATCAACCCGCCAAAAAATGAGTCCGTCCCGCTTTTGAAATGAGCTGAAAAACTCAGCCCGCCGTGCTCCGTTTGACGGGTTAGCCCGCCGAGCCGCGGCTCTAGGTAAGGCATCATCCACCCTTACCCAACACTTTCCAATACCTACACTTCCTCTTCGAACTACGTTGACAGAATCAATAACCGAAAACATAAATGGAAAATAAATTTCAACCAACCCCACTGTGCCGCATAATTAACTGACAACTAACATCTAACAACTAACAACTACAAATTTAGTTACAGTTATGAACCAACGAGCAAATTGTGGAACCATAAAATGAGAATTATTTTCAGGATTACGAATCCTGATTGAAGATGAAAATAAAGAGAACAAAATCTGATTCTCATCACGAGTGCAAGAAAGCAAACAATCTTCGGCAATTTGGGGCCTAGAAGAATAAAACTCAAAAGTCCACCCAAATTGTATTAAAAATTATGGAAAATTCAAAAAATAAAATAAAATAATGATATTAATTTGGTAAATACAGAAAAAAAAATGTGGCAATCCTGTTTTCTGCAGCTTGACGCGAGGTAGAGAAAAGAGGTACAAACTACAAAGGTAACTTCGGAACAAAATGGCAGAGTTTTTCTTTCTGACCAATAAAAAAGTAAAAAAAATAAAATACGGATAAGACAGAACCGATATTAAAATTAAAATACAAATGAAATGAAATAGTAAATAAGAAATGGCGCGCAGTGACCGTTGATAGTAAAGTGGGAATGTCTGTGAAAAATAATGTTACCTTTCGGTATCCACCTTTAATTTGAAAATATCTTGAGTATTGATGTACTACTTAAGATTTAGTAAAATTCTCAGGGTAGCTCAACTGGGGAGTTGGAACGCCATTTGCATTGTTCACGATTCGATTCTTGGAAAACTTTAGTAAATTCCATATATCATTTTTTTAGCATTCTGAAAAAAATTCATCTACCAAATACCTCTTTAGAGTATGAGGAAAAAGGTTGTCTCTTGATGGAAGATTAGTCTCATCTTTCTTCTTATGAGATAACCTAATGCATCCGCTGTTTTAACGGGAAGATAACTTTTAAAGTCATACTCTAAGATCAAAGGTTTCTACTAAATTTTTTTAGTAATCTGTGTAACAAAATGTAGATACACTTTGTTTTGGGTACATGAATGTAGATACACTTTCATTCAACGAACCAATGAGTCTCACACCTCCCCCGTGCGAGACTTCTGATTATGTAAATTAAGTCCAGCATCCTTCTCGTAGAGGAATAAACTGGCAACTCCGTCCCACGAAACTAACTGCATTATATGAGAAAATAATTTTAAAAATAATTAAACTAATAGTTTTTTTTACTAAATATTAATACCGTCAAAATACCTCACAAACAGGTATGAATAAGCATGTTGAGAATATTTATAGAAAAAATTTGATGCATAGATTTTACGTGGCTATGGATATAAATGGCTTACACGAACTATTACAGCGTAAGACATAAGGTGATATTTGACGTCTTAGACTTAAAAAATAAAAAACATGTTTAAAAAATAGGTTATTATTATATTATTATAAAGTTAAAGTTATATGTGGATTTATATTATATTTTAATTAAAATAAAATAAAATAAATTTTGAAATATAAACTAATATTTATATAATTCTGAATAAATATAAAGATAGGCTTAAATAATTCAATAGATTTATATCAAACTTTTTAATTTAAATATATATTAAGTCAAGTGTAGCGAAATATGTCACGTGGCGTTTTGGTAAAATTTACTGTTGACGTGACAGTTTGGTAAATTTTTTTGCCAACAGTGACACTTTGTCCACTGTTCCCAATGAAGACTAGTTGATTAACATCATCATACATGAATGGGTTGAATAGAGTACTCGGTTCGACGATACTATTATAATTACGTATTTTGATAAGTACATAATTATATTATTAATTTTTTTTTCAAAAATTTATCAATAACAATTTTTTTTAATATTATAACTATGAGACAAGATATATTTACTATTAAAAATGTTTATCACTTTTATAACCAATTTAATCATCATTAATTTCTGTTAATATAATAGTTATAATTTATTAAGTTTATTAAAATTTAATAATTAATTAATAATTAATTTTTAATAAACTATAATCATTAAATTAATGATGATAAAAAAGGGTGTCATGGGCAACTTGAATACTTCTTTGAATACATAGTTATATAACCCGGAATGAGTAGCGTGTAAGGGTGTAAATGAGCTAGGTCGGCCTATAGGGACCTACGGCCTAGCTTATATTAGGTCAGACTTGACCTATTATAAATAGTAGGAAAAAGTTCACTAATGCCCCTGTGATTTTTTTTATCTCATATGCTCCTGTGCTTTGTAAAAAATAAAAAACCAGAGGTATTTGAGATACAAAAACATACCATTTTACAAATCACCGGGTATATGTGATAAAAAAAACTACAGGAACATAAGTGATTCTAGAGTAAACCACAGTGGCATTGGTGAACTTTCCCCTAAATAGTAAAATAAAATAGGCCTAGGTTTTAAAAAAAATCTATTTAGAAAACAGGCTATAGATTTTTTTGTACATGTTAGATCTATAAGCCTACAGGCCGACTTATATCATATTATTTATTTTAAATAAAATTATTATTTACTTATATCATATTATTTATTTTAAATAAAATTATTAAAATAATAATTTTGAATAATAAAGTAATATTGTTTTAGTTATTTTTTAATTATTGAATATTTAATAGGCTTAAACAGACTAACAGGCTAGGTCAAGACTTTTATTTTTTAAATATAGATTAGACCAGATGTGTAATTTGAGACCTACACAAACTAAACAGACCATGCTAAATCCCATATTTTTTATACAAACCTGACCTATTGAAGATAAAGTCTAGCCTATTTACACCCTTGCAGTGGCCAACTCGGCACTAAAAAGGGTGTCGTGGCCAAACGTCCATGTGAGAAATATATTAAATATTAAAAAAAGTTAGCTACAGTATTAACATTTCAGATCTGGAGCTAGAAATCAGTGAAATTAAATCGTCTTCTTCTGAATCTTAGATTTATACAATTTCTGTCACTCTTGTTGATTCTTGAAGTATCACACTTACATGTTCCAGGTAACCCTCGCCCTTTCTTTCTATGCATATTGCTGAGTTTCTATGTTCCAACTACCCTTTCTCTGATCAAATTTTCCTTCAGATTGTGTGTGCCCGGTAAGCTTGAGCTCAACACCAGCTTAGACTCTTTCTAATATTTATTGAGTATAAAAATATTTATATATCGAGTATCTGCGTTGGATGTTTTCAAGCATCTGCTTCGAAGCTTATCTCTAAATTTTTTTTTTTTATCTTTTTGTTGATGAATAGTTAGAATAAATTCAGGCTCAAGTTCGGATCTTTATTGAGTTTTATTTTTTTTTTCTTTTAAACTTGTAGAGATTCATGATATATTAATTGTGGGAAAGGAACAGAAAGATGACGGCTGAGAGATTTTGTGAGAACGAAGAGGACAAGGCTCTGTTGGAATCTGTATTGGGTACAGAAGCTGTTGCCTTCTTTAGTTCGGCGATTTCCAATGATGTCTTTTCCGACGTTATTGTTCAACCATGTCCTGAATTGGGTGGTATCCACCAGCGATTGTGCCACCTTGTTGATGTTTCCAAGTGGGACTACGCCATTTTCTGGCAAGTTGCTGGCTTGAAATCTGGTGGCTATGCCTTGAAATGGGGTGATGGACACTGTCAAAATCCCAAAGGGGGTCATTGGAATGAGAAGGAGGAGGAGAAGGATGGTGCCAAGAGGCGGGTGCTGCAGAAGCTTCATGCCTGCTTTGGTGGATCTGACTCAAAAGAGGCCATTTTTACAAGGTTGGATAGGGTCTCAGATGTGCATATGTTTTACTTGACCTCAATGTATTATGTATTTGGTTTTAATTCCCAGTTTGGCCCTGCCAGTTCTTTTAAGTGTGGTAAATCAATTTGGGCTTCTGAGACTGCTGGTTGTTTAAACCAATATGAATCAAGATTATTTCTGGTGAAATTGGCTGGTTTTCAGACAGTTGTTTTTGTACCTTTCAAGGCTGGGGTTGTAGAGCTTGGTGCCATGGAAATGATGCCTGAAGAGCAGGGTGTTTTGGAGATGGTCAGAACAACATTTGGGGAATCTAGTCCTGGACAGTCAAAGGTATTACCCAAGATTTTTGGGCATGAGTTAAGCCTGGGGGATTCAAAATCTCAGTCCATAACTATTAGTTTCTCCCCAAAGGTGGAAGATGATTCTGGTTTCACTTCAGACTCCTATGAAGTACAAGCACTAGGGGCAAACCATGCTTTTGGAAATTCTTCCAATGGATGTATAGGCGACAGTAATGAGGCAAAATTGTTCCCTCAGTTAAATCAAATGATTCCTGGGAATTTTAATCCTCAAGCAAGGTTTTCTTGTATAGATATGGGTATTGAAGACTCATCCTCGCCTCATCTAGATGAGCGGAAGCCCAGAAAAAGAGGGAGAAAGCCTGCCAATGGGAGAGAGGAGCCACTGAATCATGTTGAAGCAGAGAGACAAAGGAGGGAGAAGCTTAACCAAAGATTTTATGCCCTAAGAGCTGTTGTTCCTAATATATCTAAAATGGACAAGGCATCTCTGCTTGGTGATGCTATTACTCATATCACTGATCTCCAGAAGAAGATCAAGGTTTTGGAAGCTGAGAAAGACATGGTTAACAATAAGGACCACCAGTTGCCATTTCCAGATATTGATTTTCAGTCTAGACAGGATGATGCAGTTGTTAGAGTGAGCTGCCCCTTGGATATTCATCCAGTTTCTGGAGTTGTTAAAATGTTCAGAGAGCATCAAATTGTAGCTCAAGAGTCTAGTGTTTCAACTGCACAGGATAAGGTAATACACACATTCTCCATAAGAACTCAAGCTGGGGAGGCTGCTGCTGTACAGTTGAAAGAAAAGCTTGAAGCATCTCTTTCCAAAAATTGATAGTGAAACTTGAAATTATATTTTATGTGGAGCATCTCAATTCCAACTACGGCAAAAAATTATATGGTTGTCATGCTGGCTAACATAACATGTCAGTGTTTTTAGGGCACTTTGTTAAGTAGAATCTAATTTGTTAGATATGGGTCTAGTGGAATCCCTTTGAATTATGTGTTTACGTGTATAAAAACTTACTGCTTATGAGTTGAATTCATGTAATATACTGTTCCAAGTTTTACCCGGTTAGGCCCACCGGGTTCAAGCCCAAAGACTAGGCCCACTGAGATCTAAGGCCCCCTCACTCGGATACATACATCCAACCAGCGCCATAGACTATGAGCCCGGATCGTGGGTTCAAACTCACGATTCTTTCCCGCTCTGCAATACTCACAATCATCCCTAACTGCGCACTAAGACCTTATGGAAATTTTTTAACCATAAAACTATTGGCACATAAACAGTTTTTTTATGAGATTTTATGGATCAAACAAGTTTCTATAGTCATATGCTCATAATATTGTGGACATGACTCGAGTAACCTGAAGGGGAGCTTTGTAGGTATCACAAAATCTATTGGCATTACAAAATTTTGAAAATTTTAAAGTAAAATTTTGAAAAGCTATAACTTTTGAGTCGAGTGTACGAATCAGGTGTTTTTTTTATTCGACAATTTTTCGAGAGTTACACATTAAAAATTTTAGGAGGAAATTTTTTGAACATTTACTTGAGTACATGACCCATATACTCGAATATATTGCGTGGAACAACAAATATTCGAGTATCTGGATTCTATATTCGAGTAAATGTTCAAAAAAATCCATAATATGAAATATACTTAAATATAAGGTCATGTACTCGAGTATATGCGTCGGTCAATAGTCAAAAAGAGGAAAATTGGTGAAATGTTTTGGAAGAGAAGCAAAGTGCTACTTATTTTGGTCAAATAACCACTTATTACTATAAGTTAAAAGATATTATCAATTCGTTAACCAACATTTTTGGAGCTTGTTGCCCAAGAATTAAGTCATCGTTAACCAATATAAAATATTGTGTATCAGAGAAGGTTTTACGGCGTAGAGCTAACTGTTTAACCGGTCACAGTGGCAGAGCCAAAAGCAAAAATGAAGCAGTGCCAAAATTTTTTGTTGATACATAAAATGGTAACAATGACAACATCATCAAAAATTATAAATGTTCTTTATTATTATTTTTTATTTTTATTTATTGAAATGCATATTATTGAATCTTAATGAACCAGGAACTCATGAGTTCATTTATATAGTACACGGTGAAGGGAGAGAAGAATAAAAACTATATGGAAGATATACAACTAACTACAACAGCATCTATAACTAATTGAAACTATACTGTAAACAGAAGCTAACTGACTCCATGAAACTAGGGACCACTAGCGTTGATACACGTGGATATGAAGAAGTTGCAGTATATCAGAATGCCATTGCAACTAATAGGATCACATGCTATCAGAAGAAGCTGTATTATTTGACACCCCCCCACAAGCAGGACGATGGATATCACAGAGACCGAGCTTGCTAATCATAGCAGCAAAGGGTGCTGGGTGGAGAGCTTTAGTGAACAGATCAGCCAACTGAGCAGCAGAAGGAACAGGAAACAAACGCAAGAGACCAGAATGAAGCTTCTCCCTAGTGACGTGAATGTCAATCTCAATGTGCTTGGATCTCTCATGAAGAGTGGGGTTCTTGGCTAGATAAATAGCAGACACATTGTCACAATAAACAGGAGCAGGAGAAGAGCAGGCTATGCCAAAATCACGAAGCAAATAAGTAAGCCACTGAAGCTCACAAGTCATGGATGCAAGAGCACGGTACTCAGCTTCACTAGAGGAACGTGATACTGTGGATTGTTTCTTGGAACGCCAAGTGATCAAGGAGGAGCCAAGAAAAGCACATAAACCAGTGATCGAGCGCCTGGTATCTGGGCAACAAGCCCAATCAGAATCAGTGAAACCACTGAGCTTGAGAGAGTTTGTGGAAGAGAAGAACAAACCGGTAGCTGGAGAGCCTTTGATGTAACGCAAAACTCGGGTTGCCGCTGTAGAATGATCTGAAGTGGGAGCACTGACAAATTGGCTTAGTTGCTGAACTGGGAAAGAGATGTCAGGACGAGTGGTTGTTAAATACAGTAAGCGTCCAACCAATCGTCTATAAGAAGAAGCATCTGATTCAGACAGTGGAGGACCAGCAGTGCGAGAGAGACGGGTAGAAGGGATCATTGGAGTGGAGGAAGGCTTAGCAGCAAGAAGACCAGAGTCAGACAAAATCTCCAACGCATACTTTCGCTGATTCACAGCAATCCCAGACTTGTTGCGTGCAATTTCCAGTCCTAAGAAGAATCGCAGAGAACCCAAGTTTTTGATGCGAAATTGAGTGTCTAAAGCAGACTTGACCCGTTGAATTTCAGTAGCACTATCACCTCCCAGAACAATGTCATCTACATAAATTAGAAGAGCAGTGAAGCTATCAACCTGACGACGAATAAACAAGGAAGGATCAGCAACAGATTGGGAGTAGCCAAGAGAGAGCAAGGAAGTAGTCAATTTGGAATGCCATTGCCTACTAGCTTGCTTGAGGCCATAGAGCGACTTATGAAGGTGGCAAACAGTTCCTGAAGGTGCCTTAATGCCAGGAGGTAAAGCCATGAACACCTCCTCATTTAAGTCACCATGCAAGAATGCATTGTTGACATCTAATTGTTCAAGGATCCAATTCTTAGCAGCTGCAATGGAGATGAGAGTGCGGATAGTAGTCATCTTGGCAACAGGACTAAAAGTGTCAAAGTAATCTACCCCTTCCAATTGGGTGTAGCCTTTGGCAACTAATCTTGCCTTACATCTCTCAATTGTGCCATCAGCCTTATGTTTTACCTTGTATACCCATTTACAACCAACTGTATGTTTACCAGGGGGTAGTGGTACTAGCTTCCAAGTGTGATTCATGTCTAATGCAGATAATTCTGCATCCATAGCATCTTGCCAACATTTAAATTTGGAGGCCTCAGTATAAGATTTGGGTTCAGTGATGGTAGTGATGTTAGAACAGAAACGTTTATAAGAAGGAGAGCATTTATCATATGACAGAACATTGGACAAGGGATAGGGAATACCTGAAGGAGATTGTATAGCTGAGACAACATGATTGCAGTGATAGTCCAAAAGATAATTTGGATGCTTCTTTGTCCTGGAAGATCGACGAAGGTGAGTAGCAGCATCATTGTTAGAAACTAAAGGTAATGGTTGTGTAGTAGCAGAAGATGATGGTTGTGTAGTTGGAATGGGAAGGATATGAGGGACATGATTGAATGGAAGGAAATCATCAAAAATGGGAGAATAAGCACATGGCAGTATAGGAGAATGATGGTTATGGACAGAGGAGGACTGTGTATAAGGAAAAACCAGTTCATAGAATTGGACATTTCGTGATAAAAATAATTTTTGGGAAGTCAGCTCAAGGAGAAGATATCCTTTGGTTCCTTCCTGATATCCAAGGAAAATGCATTTTTGGGCTCGGGCTTCAAATTTTGTGCGATGAGAATGTAATGTAGATGCATAGCACAGACAACCAAATGTTTTTAATTCAATGAGGGTAGGTGATTTACAGTGTAGAATCTCATATGGGGTGTTGGATGCAAGGAGTGGGGTACAAAGTCTATTGATAAGATGAACAGAATGAGCAATAATATAACACCAGTATGGTTTTGGAACATTAGATTGAAAAGACAATGCTCTAGCTATGTTCATGATATGTTGATGTTTTCTTTCCACTATGCCATTTTGTTCAGGAGTCTCAACACAAGTAGTGTGATGAAAAATCCCTTTGGTTTTAAAGAATTCGTGCATAAGAAACTCAGCACCATTATCACTTCGAATGCATTTGATATGAGTATCAAATTGTTTTTCATGAAAGACAATAAAATTTTGTATGGCAGATCTGGCTTCTGATTTAGATTTAAGAAAAATTACCCATGTATATCTAGAATGGTCATCAACAATAGAAAGAAAATATCTATGGCCATGTACAGAAACTTGTTGTGTAGGGCCCCAAATATCCATATGCAAAAGATCAAAACATTTATTCGATTTAGAGGTGCTTACAGGAAATGGCAATTTGCGTTGCCTAGCAAAATGGCATACATCACATGGGGATACAACTGTAGAAGGAATAAAGGGAAATTTTATAGACATTTGTTTTAAGGCAGTGGAGGAAATGTGACCTAGTCTAAGATGCCAAAGTAGATGGTTATCGGTTTTGCAACTAATGGAATGGCATGCTGGTTTATGAGGAGTAGAACTCCTTTCTGTATTATTTGATGCTGTGGTATGAGGAGGATCGACCAAGACAAATAAGTTTCCATGTTGTTCAGCTATACCAATCTCCTTCTTGGTATGGATCTGTTTAATAATACAAGAAAAATTAGAAAAAATGATATAACAATGTAAAGTGGAAATCAATTTCGTAACTGAAATCAAATTGACAAAAAATTCAGGCACATATAACACATCATGTAATATAAAATCAGCAGAAAAATGAATATTTCCTGCAAAACAGGAAACAACTTTGGAGCCATTTGGCAAATTGATAGACACAGGATGAATTTTATGAAAGGAAACAAGGTTTGAAATAGAGGATGTTATGTGATCAGTTGCACCAGTATCGATGATCCAGTGCAACTGATTACCTGAGTCAGAATTATTGGTGGTAGCATTTAGTGCTGAAGTGGACACAAGATTGAGATGGCTAGGTTCTGTGTGTGGTGTAAGGTTTGGTGGAGAGTTCAAATGAGTAGAAATGTTGGCTGAATCCTTGAAGCATTGAATTGTCTGCATTAGATCATGAAATTGCTTGGAAGACATAGTGACATTCTGCATATCAGTGACTTGATCCTCATTCTCTGTTATCATAGCACAATTTGCCATTCTCTTTTTGTACCCTGGGGGAAAACCATGCTTGAAGTAGCATGTCTCTATAGTGTGATTGCTCATCTTGCAATGAGTGCAATACTTTGATTCACGCATTTGTCCTCTACCTCCATTGTAGTTAGATCGATCTCTGCCTCTGCCTTGGAAGGAACCTCTTCTGTTTTCATCCGATTGGCTCAAGAAAATTTTTGAAGCATCATCAGTTAAGATATTTAGATGAAATTCTCTTTCTTGTTGAGCCAGCATGGAGAAGACTTTATTTACATCAGGCATAGGATTTATCAACATGATCTGAGATCTGACATGAGCATATTGCTCATTCAAACCTTTCAAGA